GGAGGGTTTTCCCGCTCCGTGCTGGGAACGCGGCGGTGCCTTCCGCCAGCATGCTGGGCAAGAGGTGTCTGGAGCTGCTTGGTTTGTGTCTGTGTGTGTGTTGTTTGCTCCCCACCGCCGGGAATTCTGCGTCCAGCTCCGCCGTCTCCAGCGCGGGAAGGATATGGAGCTGTTGGAGCGAGGCCGGAGGAGGCGCCAAGGTGATTAGAGCGATGGAGCCACCTCTGTTGTTAGGAGAATCGGTTTGGTTTTAGCCTGGAAAAGAGAAAGCTCCAGGGAGAGCTAATTTTGTCCTTCTAGTGTCTGAAGGGAGCCTGCAAGAAAGGTGGAGATACTTACAAGGGCCTGGAGTGCCAGGACAAGAGGGAATAGATTCAAACTAACAGAGAGGAGGTTTAGATTGCATATTAGGAGGAAATAGGAGGAAAAAACCCTGTTCTGCTGCAGTTTAGGTAAAGAAGAGACTTCCTGCAGATGAAAAACTCCACTGACCCAAAGATGCCCTTAACATACCTGGTTGGATCCCAACCCTGCAGCAATGCCTTAACCTTTCTATCGTGCTTCAAAAGGCTTGTTCCTACTGCACCATGTCACAGTGTGCCTAATGCAATTTATATTCCTCTTTGGAACTGAAAGTTTTTCACTGTGAACTCCAGAAGTGATGAAAATTATGGTGGTGAGGCACTGGAACAGGTTACCCAGAGAAGCTGTGACTGCCCCATCCCTGGCAGTGTGTCAGGCCAGGCTGAATAGGGCTTGGAGCAACCTGGTCTAGTGGAAGTGTCCCTGCCCATGGCAGGGGGTGGGATGAGATGCTCAGTCTTTAGGATCCCTACCAACCCAAAATAGTCTGTGATTCTGTGAAGTATGGAGGAATTTGCAGTGGTGTGCCAGCACGGAAAGCATTCAAAATGTAACAAATCACAGTGTGACACTGTATCTGTAAGGAATTGGTTTTTTTAGCCCTCTTGGTTTATTTGCAATGTAGTTCTGAGATGTGAAGTACAAACTACCTTGTTACAAATGTATTTGGGCTGAGGTTTTTTTTCTAATTTTTGGTGGTGTAAGGTTTTTTTGCAATGCATTTGAAGTTTTGTATTTCATAACATGATAAAATAAGTTGAACACTTCTGTTTTCTGTTTGCAAGTAGGAGGAAGAAAAAATGGTGCCATAATGTTGGTGAAAGCAATAAGGTTAAAAAAAGAATCTTTATTTCACCTGAATATGAATGAAGAGATCTTATTTATGAAGATCACGGGACAGGATATAACTTTGTGATGGGGAATCAGTTAGGGAATAACTGGAATCATGAGTAGTTAAAAGTTTACCACAGATTAACACAGGGAGCATGGCCAAGATTCCAGGAACTTGGAATAACAATTCTGGGTTATTTGTGCAGGTTATGCAGATTTCACCAGGTTTAGCTTTCATGGTTTAGTTCATCTGTCAGGTATATGGGGAAACAGCATTTCTTGAATATTTGTGCATGAATGGGATGATTTTTTGTGGGGTGTTTGCCCTGATTCGTAAACCATGGGTAATCTGTGATGTCTTGTTGGTCTAAAAGAGGAAAATCCCACTGGTTCTGTAAAGTCCTGCTGTCGTCAGCTGGTCGTGTGCTCTCCTGATTGAACCAGGATCACAGCGCTCTGTTGGATTCTCAAAGTCTGAGCAGCAGTTTTGTGGGTTTGGTTTTGGGGTTTTTTTGGTCTTCTCCCTTGAGGCCCTGGAGAGAGTATTCATTACTGTGCTGTTCAAAAACCTTCTGCCATGTTGCTGTGGTGTTTTGGGTTTTTTTAGCCTGCTAAACTGGGAAGGGACCTTAAAGCTCATCCCATTCCATCCCCTGCCATGGGCAGGGACACCTGCCACTAGACCAGCTTGCTCTAAGGCCCATCCAGCCCAGTCTGGAACACTTCCAGGGATGGAGCAGCCACAGCTTCTCTGGGCAACCACCCTTGTAGTAAAGAATTTCTTCTTAATATCTAATCTAAACCTACTCTCTGTCGGTGTGAAGCTGTTCTCCCTTGTCTTGTCACTCCAAGCCTGCCATGGGCAGGGACACCTGCCACTAGACCAGCTTGCTCTAAGGCCCATCCAGCCCAGTCTGGAACACTTCCAGGGATGGAGCAGCCACAGCTTCTCTGGGCAACCACCCTTGTAGTAAAGAATTTCTTCTTAATATCTAATCTAAACCTACTCTCTGTCGGTGTGAAGCTGTTCTCCCTTGTCTTGTCACTCCAAGCCCTTGTAAAATAGTCTCTCTCCATCTTTCTTGCAGGCTCCCTTCAGGGGAGGACACAAGCCTTCTCTTTTCCAGGCTAAACAAACCCAGTTCTCTCAACCTTCCCTCATAGCAGAGGTTCTCCATCCCTTTGATCAGTTGCTGTGCATGTTGTGGTTTTGTCTGATTTGGGAATAGTCATAACTTCTCTAGTCTCACAGTAATACTTATTTGGCAAAGTTTACATTAAGCAGATTAGGAGCTCCTGCCGTGTGTTTCTGTAGCAGCCATGCATTCAGAGTGCAGGAGTTTCATAGGATGCTCCTGTCAGCTCTGGTCCAAGAGATGGCTGCTCATGTGAGTCAGAATTAAGTTTCATAGCTAATCAGACCTTTGGTGTGACTTGGCAGCTCTTCTGATTTGCATGAGAAATTGAGTTAATGGGCATTTTTTTACTTTTTAATTCCAGAAATCTCACGATGGCAGTGATTCATGCAGACCATTCCAGGGCAGCATTTCATCCTGTGCACCAAGCGCTCCCTACCGGACAACCAAGAGTGTGGATTCCAGTGAGGAGAGCTGCTCTGACTCGGATGAGGACAGCTGCCTGTGGAAACGGAAACGACAGAAGTGTTTCAACTTCTCCCCTGCTAAACCTGAGCCCTTCCAGCTCAGCCAGAGCCACCCAAAACAAAATACTCTGTGTGGCAAGAAGGTCAACAACATTTGGGGTGAAGTGCTCCAGGAGCAGAACCAGGATGCGGTAGCCACTGAACTTGGGATTCTAGGCATGGAGGGAAGCATTGACAGGAGCCGGCAGTCTGAGGCTTACAATTATTTATTGGCTAAAAAGCTGATGAAGGAAGCTCAGCAGAAAGAGGCAGAGACTTTAGATAAAGAGCTGGATGAGTACATGCACTATGACAAGAAACCACTGCCAGCAGAAGAAGAGAGTGGGCAAGGCTTTCTCAAACGGAAGCGACCAGTGAAGGACAGACTGGGTGAAAGGCAAGAAATGAAGTACAAAGGAAGGTATGAGATAACAGAAGAAGACTCAGAGGAAAAAGTGGCAGATGAAATTGCTTATCGGTGAGTTTAATAGTTGTGTATCTTCACTTCTCTAAGTATTGGTAGTTGATAGAAAAAAATTAGGGGAAAAAGCTTCCTTGCTGCTGGATATGTAAAATGTTGCACCAGGTTACAAACAGCATGAGTGCCTTGTGTGTATTTCCAAAATCCTGGGGACAAATTGCTTCATTATGGCTGGTAAGGATGTAGAAACATCCAGTTAATGCTGTCTATTTTTTAAAGATCCACCAGAATGGTTTGTTATTTTTGAGAACAATGCCAAGGGAAAATATTATTTCTTATTACACAGACTTAGTGGTAGCTTTTCTTAGAAAATACCCCATGAGTGAAGGTGCTTGTTTGGAGCTGCACACTAATGCACACATGCTATGGTCACCATGAACATCTGGCTAAGTTATAAATCATCAGAACTGTAGATAAGTCTGACTGTGCAGTGCTTTGGAAGGCACAGCTGCTGAAATACACATATTCTTTAAATGGAACATGCTTGTCTGAAGAAAACTTTTTGCTGCTGTTGTAACTCAGGGCTATGCCAGGGTTAGACACTAGCACTGGCATCAGTCCTTGCTTTCTTGTGCAGTTCTGTGCACGTGTGGAAGGCAGAGTTGGGGTTACCAAGCCCCAGCACAACTACAACCATCCAATTCTGTTCACAGTCCTGATATTTAGTTACTTTACATGAGAAAAATTAGCAGTCCAAAAGCCTGTTGGGTTTTTTTTGAGGAATCACAGAATATTCAGAGTTGGAAGGGACCCACAAAGATCATCACCCTGCACAAGACACCCCCAAGAATCCACCATATGCCTGAGAACATTGTCCAAACACTCCTGGAGCTCTGTCAGGCTTGGGGCCGTGACCACTGTCCTGGGGAGCTGTTCAGTGCCCAAACACCTCTGGGGAAAAAATCTTAGTTTGCAAACAGATTTGTTTCCTGAAACGATTTGCTGCACCATTTCCTGACAACACTGGACTGAGGGTGTGAGGGAGGGCACAGGACTGCAGGTCATTCTTAGGGTGAATTAAACTGCCACGAGCCTTTTTCAGTGGTACAAGGGAAGAAATTTATGTTAAACAGGGAATGAGACTTTTAGAAGATTTACTGACAGTTAGCTTGATATTTACCTAAAACCTGGTTTTATTGGTTATTGTTGTTTCCTTGTTTGTGGTACTTATTTCAGCATCTGGCAATACTACAGCAATTGAACAATTATTGATGCTGTTAACAGTTTTTGGTAGCTTCTCATTTCTGGACTTGAAAACTTTGACTATGTCTCTTGTAATAAGCTTTTCCTTGTTGTACTGAGCTTTGTTTGAAATAGGGCAGAAGCCTCTTTTTTCTTACTGTTTGTGGTAGTAGTGGCACAGAAATGTATCAGTAGTGTTGTAGTTATGTTACAATTTTTTTCATGTTTGCTTTTTATAGCTTATCATACATCGACCAACAGATTGGTTCCTTCTTTATGTAGGTTTGAATGGCACATGATACAGGGGAACTTTCATACTTCCTGTTTTTTCCAGTTGTTGATTTAACTATAAAAAGCTAATTTTAGCTGTTCAGTGCACGTGTTTTTATACTTTAATTTCAGAGACTTATACAGGTCTCTGCAGTTTCATATTTGGTTTAATATTTCACTCATCAATGGAAGAAAAATAATCACTCAATGCATTTTCATTGAAACAGACTTTAAAAATGTGTGCTTTAAAACAAAACAGCTATCCTGTAGAAGCTCAATAGTTTGAAATCTAATTCAATAAAGCATTGAAACACATCTGAATGTATAGACTCTTCAGCACAGTTTTATGTCCTACAGAATTAATTACTCATGAATGTTCCACAGTCAATTTTACTCAAAGAAATTTATCCTGACAGTAAATGTACCTTTTTTTCTTTTCCCCCCTCTCCATTCAGACTTTGTGAGCCAAAGAAAGACTTAATTGCTCGAGTAGTGAAAATAATTGGGAACAAAAGAGCGATTGAGCTGCTTATGGAAACAGCTGAAGTAGAACAGAATGGTGGACTGTTTGTAGTGGTAAGAGAAATGTCACCTTTTGGGTTTGCTGGGGCACAGGGACAACACAAATTTTCACTTGTAGAGTATTTACATAGTGCTATTGCTGGGTAGGCTCTCCCGGAGGTTTATGGCCCTTTCCACACCATGAAACTCCCTTAATAAACACTAAGTTTACCCAGTCCCCAGTCTGGAGCTCTGCATGGGATTGGTATGGCCAAAGTGCAGGACCAGCACTTGGCCTTGTTAAACCTCATCCCCTTGGAATCAGCCCATCTCTCCAGCCTGTCCAGGTCCCTCTGCAGAGCCTTCCAGCCTTCCAGGAGATCCACACTCCCCCCCAGCTTTGTGTCATCTGCAAACTTGCTGATGGTGCACTCAATCCCCTCATCCAAATCGTCAGTAAAGATATT